CTGTCCAAACTATTTTTGTTTGCATTATTCTACATTCTAGTTTTAGAATTAAATAAAGAGAGTATTAGAACACAGGTTTGGTTCGCCGAACAAATTTGTTTGAAGTGTTTCTACAAATTTGTAAAGATCATTGTATCCTGGGAGATAGACACCACTCAACCGTAAGTACCGTAGCAGGGCGAATCTGTCTTAAGGACAGAGTGTCACACACTCGACTTGCTCTTAATTTTAATTCGGTTGGATAAATAAATCCAGTATGTTATTTATTTATTTTGTTTGAATTTATTTCAAGTTATTTTATTTACATAGAAGATCATTCCAACAATTGAAATCTATACTAATTCCACGTCAAATTTAAACACCTGAGTTGGAGCATATTTTCATGTCAATTTTATCCATTCTTATATGTTTGTCAACTCAAATATACATGTTCTTACAAGCTTTTTTAACTTAATGAAATTGCACTTACCATTGAAGTGGATCATATTCTAATTTTTAAATTTTTATTATTGCATGACATATTAGTTATTGAGAACAAATTGTAAATTTTGTATAAAAACAAAAAAGATAATTATTTTTTATTATTAGATTACAATTGTTATCTAATCTCATATGGGGTGGGATTAGTTATCCCTTGTGGAACCGTTTGTTTGGAGAGTTAGAGGGGGGATTGGATTGGTAGTGAGGTAGAACCCACTAATATTGTATTTGTTTTGAGAGATATGGAGAGGATTGATAGTGAGCTCCGGATTAGGATGGGCCTTCCCAAGGGGATTTGAATGGGCCTCCAGGACTTGGTATTAGAAAAATAGTCCGGCGGATTAGAATTTTTTTATTTTATTTATTTTTTATTTTATTTTTTACATATCGGGCATTTTTTTTAACATTAATGTTTAATTTTTTATATTTTTTGTTAAGTAAAAATCATTATTTTATTTGTTTTATTTTTTTCTGGAAATTTTTTACTTTTTTTTTTAATTTTTTTAAAAATTTTTACATGTTGGGCATTTTTTTTAAAACATTAATGTTTAATGTTTTTGTATTTTTTTTATTTGTTTTATTATTTTATATGAAAATAATTTAACAATCCCTACACTAACAACTATCATCAAAACAAACACAATTGTACTTAATCCCCTCATTATCAATTTTCTCCATTTTACCTCTGAAAACAAACGGGCCTATAAGCCTTGTTAGTGGGAGTGAAAATTTGGCCCAGACCAGCCTGGCCCAATTCTATTTGGGCTTCCTCAAAAATCAGGTCAGGCTGATATATTTAGGGCAAATTACCATGTAGTCCTATGTAGGGGATCTATTTCCCTTCTAATCCCAATTTATTTTTAATAGATCAATAGGTCCACAGTTTTTTAAGTTTTATACCCAGAGGTCCCGTTTTTTATTTTCGTATTTTTAAATGACTGTATTACCCTTTGTTTTGAGATCTATATGTACGTGAAAAATCAAATTTTTGCTCCGTTTAAAAAAAGGAAATCAAATCTTCGTCTCCGTGATCTCGATTTCTCTTCATTGTGGCGATCTCATTGTGCTGTGTGGTCGATCTCATTGTGCTGTGAGGTGGATCTGGTTGTGTGATTTGAATCTCTGTGTACAGGCGATAGCTGCGTACGTTGTCTCTCTCTCTCTCTCTCTCTCTCTCTCTCTCTCTCTCTGGTGATAGATATATGTATTTGTATGTATGTATCTGTCGATACATAGATATACATATATATGTATATATATATATGTCTATGTGTGTATGTGGTTTGTATTTGTCGATATATACGTAAGTATATATAGATAAGCAAATTTGCGTGATATGTGGTTTGTGTTTGGCGAATTTTGTTTGTTTGATTTTTATTTTGTTGATTTTGTTTGTCGTATAGTGTATTGTGTTTTGAAGTTGTATTTTAGAATTGTGAATTCTGGTGTTTTGATACTGATATGTTGTAAGTGTATAATTTTGCAATTTGGAATTGTAAATTGTGCACTGTTGGTATTGATATGTTGTAACTGTATACTTTTGCAGTTTGGAATCTGTGAACAATTGTTTGTTGGTTTGTGATTTTGTAATATGGAGGGGTATTTTATGTTAATGTGCAAACATAGTAATTCTTGTGCTGCTATTAAGATTAGTGAGGGATGTAGTTATCATGAAATTGTTGAGAAAATATGTGCGAAGTTCAAGGAGTTGAGTGTTGGTAACTTTTGTTTGTTTTTCTCTGTTCCTGGATATTCTAATTGTATTGTTGAATGTGATGATGATTTGGGGAATATGCTGTCAATGGTAGGTGGTAGTGGTTGTCATGTTGTTGATGTTATTGTGGGGGATAAGAGAGTTGTGGAGGTTGATGATGGTAATTCTTGTAGGATTGATTCTGTAACTTGTGAGAGTTCTTTTGTGAATGATTGTGATGATGTTGGTGGTTTGTTGCGTAGTTTTTATCCAGAACCAAAGAGAGTTTTGTTGTCTGCTAGTTGGAAGGGGATTATACATAGTGTTGGTCAAGAATTTGAAGGTGGAGTGTCGGGGTTCCGCATTGCATTGGCTAAGTATGCAGTTGAGTGTGGTTTTGCAGTGAATTATTTGAAGAACGATGCAATAAGAGTAACTGCTGAATGTATGATGAAGTCGTCTACGGGTTGTAAATGGTTTGTGCATGGAAGGGTGTTGATGGATTCTGGTGTTTTTTTTTATAATGAAGTTGGATAATGTGCATACTTGTGGGGTTGTTGCTCGTAGATCTTGTAGCAAAATGGTTGGTTCTAGACTTGTGTCTGATATTGTGCAAAATGATATTAGTGATAATCTGTTGACTCGTCCTATTGAAGTTAAAAAAAAGTTGAAGAAGCAATATGGTATAGATGTTTCTTATCGGGTTGCATGGTTAGGAGTTGATAAGGCAAGAGGTGGGTTGTTTGGTGATTTTGCAACTTCTTTTGACCAGCTTCGATGGTACCTTGAGACGGCTATGAGAATGAATCCGGGAAGTGTGTTTGAATTAGATGTGGATGAAAGTAGTGGGTGTTTTCGGAGGTTGTTTGTGGCATTTCATGGATGTTTGTATGGCTTTCAATTTTGTCGTCCGTTGTTGTTTGTTGATGGTACATTTTTGAAGGGGCATTTGCTTGCAGCAACATCAAAGGATGGTAATCAAGGTATGTATTTATTTGCAGTTAGTATTGGTTTAGTTTGTCAGTGTGTTATTGTATTGTGAGTCTGCTAATTTTTGCAGTTTCATGTGGTTTTGTTTGCAGGTTTGTTTCCTTTGGCTTTTGCGATTGTTGACGCTGAAAATCAAGATAATTGGATGTGGTTCTTAAGTCAGTTGTTGAAGGCTGTTGGTTCAGGCCGGAGATTGACTTTTGTGTCGGACCGTCAACATGGATTGCTAGACGCTCTTTCAGTGGTTTTCCCCAATGCACATCATGCTTATTGCTTGAATCATTTGAAGAGAAATTTGATTGACAAATTGGTGGGACTTCGTACTAACTATAAGCTGTGTTTGATGAAAATATTAGTTAAATGTGCTTATGCGCCAACGGTTGCTTCTTTCCAACATTATATGGAGAAATTGAGGCGTATTGCTGGGAATGGTAGAGTTGATAGTATGTTGGATGGTTTGCAAAATGATAAGTGGGCCAATGCATTTTTTAGAGGGAAACGATATGGTGAGATGTCATCTAATGCTGCCGAGTCTTATAATAATTGGATTGGTGGGGCCCGTGAGTTGCCTGTTACTTGTATGGTTGATATGATTAGGGTTCAAATTATGACTCAATTGTCGGATAGAAGAGCTGAATCTAGAATATGGACTACGAAATTGTGTCCAGTTATGGAAAAGAAGTTGGTGGACTCTTTGGAGCTAGCTAAGTCTTGGGATGTGATTGTTGCTAGTGATACTGTGCTTGAGGTTCATTCTTCTATTTCTTTTTATGTTGATATTGGCAGACAGACTTGTTCTTTCCATGAATGGCAATTGAATGGTTTTCCTTGTTGTCATGCTGTGCATGCTTTGCGTAGTAGTGGTAGAGATGTGTATGGTTTCATTGATCCTTTTTTTCATGTAGATTGTTTTAGAGAGTCATACAAGGAATCTGTTTATCCAGTGCTTTCAAGTGAGAGATTTGACTTTGATGGTGCCAGCAGTTCGGTTATCAAACCTCCTATAACGAAGAAGCAGTCCGGGCGGAACAAGAAGAAGAGGATACCTTCTAGGGGTGAGAATGTGAAGCAAATCAAGTGTGGGAGGTGCTTGAAATATAGGAATCACAATAAGAAGATGTGCAAGGCTGCTATTTGAGGCCACAATCTATTCTTTTGGATTTGTATTTGAATTTGAGGAATTATGATAATAAAAAATGTGATACTTGGTATTATGGAAGTAATGAATAAAGTTGGTTGAATTGTTTTTTCTTTGTTGATGTGTTCTTTACTTATTGAAGTTGTTTTATACCAGTCTGGTTTTGTTTTTTATTTTTATGGAATGCAGAGAAGGTTGTTGAAAATTTCTTATTGAAACAGTATAATATGGAAATGCAGTTCATATTTCATAGCGAGAAAACTGTATAATTTTGCAATTTTAAGAATTATTAGAAACAACCTGATGAAACCACATGATTTTGCAGTTTTAAAAATTATTAGAAACAAGCTGATGAAACTGCAAAATTTTGCAGTTTGAAGAATTATTAGAAACAACCTTTACTGTATGAAAATATATGCAACCACAAACAAGTAGACAAACAATCAGAAGAAGAACCACAATAATAATAACAAGAAGAAGAGCAACAGCAACATCAATCATTTTCACCATAACCATAATAACCAGAAAAAGATCATTCCCAAAAGTATATAAAGTACTTGTCACATGTTAAAAAAGAAAAATAAAAATAAAATAAAAATAAAAGGTACAAAGATATGTTCCCTTGAATATTTGTATTGTCAATAAGTTTGTTCATTGTTTTTATGGTTTGGTATGTTTTGTCAACGTTTGGTAGTGCTCGAGTTTCCAGGATCGGTTCTCATCATTGAGGAATTGATTGATGATTTGTGCTCGAAATTTGACCCACTCAGTTGGACGAAGTTTTTTCTGCACAGGTTGCCAGTTGAGATATTGGTTGATAACATTGCAGACGGCGATTGCACAATCATTCCTGTAGTGTTTGAGATGAAGTTAATTAGTTAGGTGAAACTGCAAAATTTAGCATATTGGAAGATTAGTTTATGGATTTTGTATCTTACGAGTGTGGGGTTTGTTGTGGGCATTCCTCAATTGATGCAATTTCTGTCTCGCACTCTTGAGATGATAACATGTTTCCCTGTTTGCTGAGTAATGCTTTATTCCATCTCAGTTGATGTTGTTGCTACAAAATAGTTAGTGGGTGTTTTTGTTAGTTATAGTGATGAGTTGAGATGTTTGTAAAGGAATGGAAGTAAGTATGAAATTTTATTTTAACTTACAATTTGCTTTGCAATTTCAAAGTGCTTGTTGTGGCAATCTTTTGCTGGTCTCAAAGAGTCATAGTGTCTCCATATTCTATCAGCATTGTCAAAGACCACAATTGTCCAATGGTTGTCGTGGTTGATTGAGAAATGGATATATCTGTTTTTCATTGCTTCTGGAAAATGGCTGTCCATCAGTTTTTCTCTCAATGTTTGATCTTGGTTTTGTAGTGGAGTCTGTAAGTTATATATATGTTTGAAATATGTTATAAAACTATGTAGTAATACATGTTGAGAAAGTAGAAAATTTTGCAGTTGTAAGGTATGTTAAGTTTTGCTTACATTGATGAGTGTTGAGAAAATATAAGATCTTCCTGCATATGGATTGCTTGCAAAGACTAGATCGTTTTTCTCAAATTCTTCAATGGTTGGTTGGAGTGCCAATTGCTTTTCTGAGAAGGCATCAATGACCTGAAACATGTTATATATGAGAATGTGTTAGGTTTGTAGAATAGGTTATTGAATATGTACAGAAACTGTAAAATTGTGCAGTTGGAGACCTACATTCCCATATAAGGGTTCCCTGTTGGTCAATCTGCATATATCTGAAAAGTATACGCAGTTTTCATCTTCGCTGCCAGACCAGACACAAGCACTTGATTGTATGTTGTTGATGAGTTGAATTTGGTCTTGGTCTTTCTTGGATAGGCTATGCCAAACCTTGTTTGTTTTGCGGCATGAAATGACGAGTGGCTTGTTTAGGATTGATTCTTCTTGGAAATCATCATCACTTTCCAATACTTGAAGTTTTGTCTTCTTTTGATTGGCATGCTCTTTTGGGTTTGTTTCAGCAGCAACTGCTTTCTCTTGGCCAATATGTTCTTGCATCTTTTCTTTCTGCTGTTGTTTTGCTTCATGAGCACCCTCTGTTTTGTTGTCATTCTTCTTCTCTTTTTCTTCATCGGTACCCTGTGTTGGTTTGGGTACATCAGCAGCAGTTTGTGTCTTGTTCCTTGTATCTTCTTTGGCTTTTGTCATTGGTTGGTATTCAAAATCTGGGTCATGTGCTTGTTTTCTTGATTTTTGTTTGATTCTCTTGACCATGGATCTTTGTTGGGGACTGCCAGTTTTTTTGGTGGACATTTCCTTCAATTGATCTTCTTTTTTACGCAATTCAGCCATGAATTTTTATTCAATTTCTTGCATTTGTGCTCTCATGGCTGATATGAGCTTGTCCTTGTCGTCCTCTTTCGTTGGTGTTTGTGGTTGGTCATGACCTATAAAAATGTTGGATTGTGTTTTGGTTAGTTTAATGAAAGTTTGCAGTATGCTTTAGTATTAGACAATAGTTTACCTTGTGCATGAAATATGTCAGATTTCTCTTGCAGTTCTTCTTGTTGGTTTGTCAGTTCTTGTTCATTGACTTCTTCTTGTTGGTTTGTTTGTTGTTCTTCTTGTTCTTGTTGTTGGTCTTCTTCTTCATCAAGGTCTTCTTGTTGATCACATTTTGTTTGTTGTCTTTCTTCTGCTTTGTCATTGTCTTGTTGTTCATCAGGTTCTTCTTCTTTTTCTTGTTATTGTTGTTGTTGTTCTTCTTCTTCTTCTTCTTCTTCTTCTTCTTCTTCTTCTTCTTCAGTTTCTTCTTCATCAGTCACTTGATTTTTTTCATCATCACTCTTTTCTTTTTTCATCATCACTCTTTTCTTCTTGTTCATCACTTTCTGGTTCTTCTTGTGATTTTTGCTTTCTTTTCTTCTTTTTTTTTTGTTGTTCTTCTTGTTCTGATTGTGATTCTGATTCTGAATGATGTTCTTCTTCGAGAAAGTTATCCTCATCACTGTCTAGAAGTGTTCTTTTTTTTTGTTGCTTTTGTTTTCTTTTTTTGCTTATTATCCTTTTTGTGGTCTTGTTTCTTTGCTGAAGAGTCTGTTGATGTGCTTGATTGATATGCAATAACTGTATTTCTTGTTCAGTTGGGGTTAAAGCACTTTAGTAAACCTACATTGAAACAATGTGGCATATATCAGTAATACTGTAAATTTGGTCAGTTTCATAAGATGAGTTGTACTGTGAGTAATGTGGGTTAAGTGTCGAAATATGTTTTTTGAAACTGAAAAATGTTACAGTTTCATAACATGAGTGATGTTAAAGAAGTGTGTGCTTTGAAACTGAAAATTTTCACAGTTTCATAATATGATTTGTACTACAATGAATATGAAAGGAGTGTTGAATAGATTTGTGCTAGGATAGTATAGAAGAGTTTGAATACCTTTTCAAAGTGAGCGAGGCTGATGTGTTTCCACTTGGAGTACATTTTGCCAAGGTTCCATTTCATAAACCTTGGGAAGCCTTCTTTGTTGGATGGTCGGAGGAGTTTACTGTGCTCAATTGCCTCAACCCAATTGTACTTCTTGATGTTGTTGAGATTGTCAACATAGTTGAGGAAACTCCAACTGAGTGTATGGCCTGTTGTGGGCATGAGAAGTTTCAAGCACAAGTAAAGGGTGATTACCCTTGTAAGATCTTGACGATCATTGGTTGATTTTCCTTTTTTTGTTTGTTGAAACATTTTGGCCAAAGACTTGTCATCCAATCTCTTGACTGATTTGCATCTTCGTTTGTAAAATGAGAGCTCAAAATCCTTTGGTCTTGCATAGGATTTGGTGGTGATGCTGTCTTCTCCACAGTCGATACCAAAAATGAGCTTGACATCACTGCTTCTGAGTTTCATTTCCTTTTTGCCAAGTACAAATGATCTTTTTCTTTTGTTGTAGAGTGTTGTCATTTCTGTTACAATGGAATTGTAGCATCTGCACCAAGAGGCCTTCAGTTGTGTTGAGGAGAGAGCATTTATAAGGGGCCAAAAGGGGGTTTTTTTTGCAGCTCTGTCTATTGGGCTTTTGTGAATTTGACCCCCTTCAACAGTTCGATTACTGTTCCGATGTTGGAACGATAATTAAATTGTTGGACTCTCTTTGCAGGGACTACTGCTTTTTTTTTTTTCTTTTCATGCCTTGGTTTTTGTTTGGGAGTTGATTGGCTTTCTTGGAGCTTTCTTTTTTTGGTTGGAGGAGCTTGTTGTTTTTTTGTTGGCTTTCTTTTGTTTGTTTTTGTTGTGGTTGGAGGTGTGGTTGGTGTTTGTTGTGTGGGTGGGGTCTGTGGTGTAGTTCTTGGGCTTTTTCTTGTAGGTGGTGTGGTTGTTTTGTGGGTTTTTTGGTGGGGTCTGTTGGGTTTGGTTGTTTTTGAGTGTGGTGGTTTGGTTTTTTGTGGATGGGGAGATGGTGGTGGCATTTCAGTGGATATAGGAGATGGACTTTCAAAAGGGGAGATGGTTAAATCCCTGATTGGATTTGTGGGCATATGGGTTTGTTTCTTCCAATATCTTTCACCAGCTATTTCTAAAAAAATGAAAGCGACAGTAGGGTATGAGTAATATAGTGACAAAACTGTATAATTTTGAAGTTTTATATGCAGTTTAATATGAAGTTATATGTATTTTGTTGGTAACAGTTACGAAACTGTATAATTTGACAGTTTGATTTGCACTTTATAATAAGTTAGCTATTTGTTTTGAGTAGTGGTTAAACTGTGTAATTTTGCAGTTTCATTTGCAGTTTGAATAAATTTAGATATGTTACTTGTATAGTGATGAAATGAAACACTATGATGTTGCAGTTTTTATAAGGAAACAGTATGAACAATAGGAACAGCCCATTGTATTTTGTAAAAAGCAACAATAACAACGAGAAGATTAAAAATTCAAAAATAAGAATAAGAGAAGCCAATATTGAACAACAAGAATAAGAATAAGGTGTTGAATGTATAAAAACAGGGATTTATGTGTAAAAACAGTGTTTAGAATGTTGAAAAACAGGGGACTATAATGTTTGAAAATAGGGGATTATATATAAAAGAGGGTTTATACATTTGGAAATATGTAAAATGTGTATATACGAAATATGAAAGAATGATGTACAAATGTGAATGAAAAATAATGAATAGGTGATGAGAGATGTTACTTTTTTCCCCCATTTTTGTGAATCGGAAGTCAGGAACTATGAAATCTCTTCAGAGTGGTGATGGTTATTCGTGTTGTTGAGAGTCGCCGATTGGAGAATATGAACGGCTTGGTGTTGTGTTGAAGATGAACGGTTTGGTTTTGTGGTTAGGGTAGGGTTTCAGAGGGAATGGAGTCGAACGGAGGAGAGATGGAGGATTGGGAATGCGATTTCGAGCGGCGGAGATGTAATAGTGTACTGATCAGACTGAGATGATTGTGGGTGATGAAGATGAACGGTTACGTTTTCTGGTTAGGGTTAGGGTTTCAGAGGGAATGGAGTTGAACGGAAGAGAGATGGAGGACTGAGGAGTCGATTTCGAGTGGCGGAGACGTGATAGTGTACTGATCAGACTGAGATGATCGGGACGTGGGTGATGGTTGCGCGCGTGTGTAGACGGCGCCCGGGGAGGGGCCTCGTGCTACAGTTCGGACTCGATTCGTGTCACGGTTCTAAGTCTGAACCCATCTTATTGTTAATTTGAAGACTTAATGGAGTATTAAATTTGTTTTGGGTCTAAATAGGTTATGATATGTTGGGTTTGGACCTTTGGGTCAAACGCCCATATATTTATAACACTTTAGTACTAGGCCCCGCGTAAGCCCAAGGGATCTAGGGTCCGAAGCCTAGGCTTTATGGGCATTTTCAATTTTATGAATTCTTTAATTTTTGGTGAACATCAAATATTTTTTTTTTTTTTTTTTTTGTTCTTTGTAAAAACGTTAAAAAGTCAAAATGTGTTTGTCATGCCTACAATAAAGTAGGAAATATTTGAATCTATTGGAAAAGATTAAACTGTTAGAAAAATGCTTCGGACCCCCACTGGGGGTCGACCCCCAGTGAGGTGGCGTGCAATGATTGGGTAAAAAAAAACTGTTTTATTTTTTATTTTATTTTTTTTGAGTTTCAGCCAGTGGGGGCTCGCCACCTCACTGGGGGTCTGCAGCATGGTTGAAACTATTATTACTTTTTGATAATTCAAGATCTTTCGCTCAATTTAATTTAATTAAACTCAAATTACTTTGTATCTGGACGACCAAACTACTTCCACAAGTGCGTGTGTTTACACCT